CGGGGCCGCCGGGGTGGGTGCGCACGCAGTCCATGCCCTGCGGAGGGGAGAGGTGGCTCAGGGACAAGGGTTGGGGGGCTCTGGGGGACAGGAGCATGGCCAGGGCAGTCCCCCGTGTGCCGGGGACCCCGCAGGGAGCGGTCCCCCAGCAAAAGGGACAGGCCAGGGCCATCAGGGACACTCACACGGTCGCCCTTCTGCCCTTTGCCACCGGCGGTGCCAGGGAGGCCCCGCTCGCCCTTGGTGCCCTGCAAGAGAGGGAAGGAGGGTGACAAACGGGCACAGGGTGTCCCCACAGCCCAGTGTGTGCCCACAGCTCCTGACAGGGGTGCTCTGGCATCTCCCACATTCCCGCTGGGTGTCCTGGGGGGTGACAAACCTACCTTTGGACCTGGGGGACCGAGGGTGACCTGTGGAGACAGGAGAAAGGTGTCCCCCAAGGGCATGGGGACTTCAAACGGCAGCAGCAGCAGAGCCTTGAGCCCACCACTGTCCCCGTCCTCCCAACACTCTGTCCCCGAGTGCCACCATGGGGCATGAGGGGTCCCAAACACCTGCCACCCCCCTGCCATCCCCCCACCCCCAGCCAGCGGTTGCTGTAGGAATGGGGCCACATCTGGAAAGGATCCAGATGTTGCAGGGCCCCGGGCCGGGAGGAACTGTGGGGTCGTGGGGGGCTGGTGGCGGCACCCCGGTGGCTTTTGCCACCCGCAGTTCACAGCCCAGCCTGGCCAGCTTGGGGTCCCCGTGTCCAGTGCCACACTCACATTTCCTGATGCCGCCTGGGGTGAGCAGGGAGGGCACTGGAAGAGACGGGGATGGAATCTGGGAGCAGCTCCACACACTGCCCATGGCACCCCAAACCCCACAGCACCCAAAAACCCCACAGCCACTGCCCCGCTGCCCCGGGCACCCCTCACCCATGGGGATCCCCCAGCAGCATCTCCCCCCAGCCCTGGAGCTTTCTGGGCATGGGGAATTCCTGGGTGGAGAAGGGAAAAGCCACGGTGTTTCCTCCTTGGGGAGGTGATGAAGTGCTGGCCTGGCTCCCCCTGTGGATCAGTGCCTTGACCACAGCTTGGCCAGGCCAAACCAGCCTCTCCAGGCTGCTCCCACAGGACTGGGGACAGGCAGGATGTGGCTGTGTCCCCACAGCCTCCAGCCCTGAGCCGCACACCCGGCAGGATCCCACCCCGGGACACTGCAGTGAATCCCTGCGGTGGGATGAGGGATCCCAGAGACGTTCAGGGATGAGGAACAGGAGCACTGGAGATGTTTCCCAGCTCTGGCAACGCTCCGGAGAAGCTCGGAGGGAACAAAGAGGCCCTTGGCCATAGCTGGGATTGCTCCAGTAGCAGCAAAGAGTGAGTGGGGCCTCAGTTCCTGCTCGGGGGAGCAGAACAGCCACTCTTCCCTGCATCCCTGCAGCAACTGGGAGCTCCCAAATGGGGCAGGGACAGAGCCAGCCTGGATTTGGGCCACTGGGTGACACTCTGGGGTGGCACTGGAAGGGGAGCAGAGCTGGGCGTGCCAGGACAGCCGGGCTGGGACACCCTCACCTTTTCCTTGGGGTCGTCCCTCAGGCTGGTCCTTCCTGAGCTTCTCCCTGGCTCCTGTAGGGCAGAAGGAGCTCGTGGTGGTGCCTGCCTGGATTATCCCACTCTGGGGTGCTCCATCTGGGTTATCCAGGGGTCTGGGATCCCCAAGGATGGGACCACAGGAGCCTTCCCCTCCCTCATTCCCTCTGGCCACCAACACCTCCCTCACCAGCACCGGGTGGAAAAAGCGAGGCAGGGATTTTCCAGGGGCTGGATCAACCGGGCATGGGATGGGGACAGGGATGGGGACAGGGATGGGGACAGGGATGGGGACAGGGATGGGGACAGGGTTGGGGGTGGAGATGGGGATAGGGACAGGATGGGGACCCAGGATGGAGATGGAACTGAGGACAGGCACCAGGATGATCCAGGATGGGAATGGGGATGGGATGGGATGAGGACCCAGGATGGAGATGGAGATGAGGACAGGCACCAGGATGAGCCAGGATGGGAATGGGAATGGGGATGGGATGAGGACCCAGGATGGAGATGGAGATGAGGACAGGCACCAGGA